TCCACTGACCGTTTGATGAATCATATATTTCAGAAGTAACTCCATAACCAGAGACAAGTACTTTGCCCGAATTAAGTAGAATTGCAGTATGCTCAGAACGTGCTGCTGCCATGCTTGCACTATGGCTCCATTTGTCCGTTAATGGATCATATATTTCAGTACTATTCAGTAGAACATCTGACTCAGTGGTGGTGCCACCTGTGACAAGAACTTGGCCCGACTTGAGTAGGGTTGCAGTATGATATTTTCGCGGTTTTGCCATGCTCGCAGCAGTATGCCATTGGCCGGTTGATGGGTCATATATTTCACATTCAGTCAAATAACCGGTAGATCCTTGGCCACCAGTGACAAGAACTTTGCCAGAATTTAGCAGAGTTGCAGTATGAAATTCACGTGGTATTGCCATGCTTCCAGTAGTGTTCCATTGGTCTGTTGATGGATCATATATTTCAGTAATAGCCAGATAACTGGCTAATTTGTGACGGCCAGTGGCTTTACGCAAATTGTACAGTTGGTCTTAAGATAAAAAAAATTAAAGCAGAAATTAGTATTCTAATATTAGTGATATACAAACAATCTCGATTCAAAGTTGCTTTAAGTTATTGAAAGCTTTCGTTGCCTAGCTGTTTCAGCATGTAGAGTTAACAGAAGGATTACTTGGATTTCGAGGTTCGAGATGTATAGTCTTTATTTCAAAGCTTTCTCATTTCATTTAAAGAGTCGTGAAAGAAATACAAACCGAAATGAATTTCGTCCCCGGAATCGATAACCAGAACTCCAGGAACTCGACGATCATTCTGCACTGCTAACTTAAATACAAACGAACAGATTTCTGAAATTCTCATTGATCGTAATGAAGTAATTCCCCGAATTTCGGTATGGAATTAGTGTTATAGAATTTATTAATGGCGTATATCTGAAGAATGGGATCTGAAAGGTTGTTCCAAAAACAATTTTAGCTTTTGACCTAGAAGGAGCTATGAAAATTCTGTTTGTGCATATCACTTTGAACCAAAAAAAGGTTTTTCATCTACCAAAGTTTTTCCAGAAAACTCCTTGAACGACTAGTATAAATTAGATTAAAAAGGTTCACGTTTCTTGCACTTAAGGTAAACCCCTACAAACCCTAAGCTTGACTGTGTTCGAAGTACATGTCTTATAGATTCAATTCATACTCTTAATTTGTAACCAGCAATTGATACAGACTCGTACGATTGAATGAATCACATTGTGATGGAACTACTGCAAGAGAAAATGTGAAGAAGACGCACTATTTTCGGTACAATGGTGTTTGGAAGACTACGTAAAATCAGTATACATACCTGATTTAACTGCGTTGGAGACCCTAAAATGAAATGAAAAAGATATGTAATTAGTTAACTTTCAAACATGAAGACGTTCGATTCTTTCTACTCGTCATATCTTTTACAGTGTCTCTCTCTTTCTATGTCTGATTATTTTTCCAGTTTCAATGGCTTATCTGTCTTGTACTATGAAGATATCTATCTTCTTTTTTAAACAACACAAATTTGGTTGTTTTTATATGCAAAATTTATGGTCACTGTTGATTTTTTTCTTGATTTAATAATTTTCTAACAAAGAAAATTGTAACAAAAACGCTTACTCTATCGAACTTAACTATTGCACGTCAATTGATAAAACAATTGTTAAAAGATGAATACCAGGCACTTTCGACGTTAATATTAGCAACATCGATAATAACGAATGCATCTGTTTTACTACGTCCTCCACTTTATCCATTATCAGTTCTCGACAAAATGATCAGCAAAAAAATTATATCAGATGAATATATCATTCATCTTAACTCGCTGGAATTAATTACAAATTCGCCTGTTTTTATCAGGTAGAATCAAAACAAAGACAGAGTTCGTACAATTCTAAATGTTGTTCGAAAATATTTATATGCATCTGTTACCAGTACATTGTCTGAGAGAATCGTTTCATCTAGTGGATTGATGACAAGTAATCGATGTGCAGCTCTAGCAGTCAAATCAGCTAACGACATAAGTATCTTGAACAGAAATTTTCAACTTAACAAACTGAAAATCAAATTATTTATTCAATTAATCTTAGTCATTTCCTCTCTCTTATTCTATAAGAATTTCTTGTTAATTAAACTTGTTTGTCATCGTATTAAGGAAAGCGAAAAAAAAGTATAATTGATAATCCACTATCGTTAAGGAAGTACACATAATAGAGGAAAGAAAAGATGAAGTATGTCGAAGAAGAGGTACTCACATCCATGTAAACAAGAAAAGTACAACAAGATAATTCATTGACATCATCCCAAACCACGACTTTATTCTTTTAGATAACAAGCACTGTGAGAAATATTCACTATAGTAGAAAGATCAAAATGAAATAGAACTAAATAGAAAAAAAATATTTACGAATGACATATGCAATAACAATATGTCATATTTGAATTTTCTCATATTGATGACATTCATTTTTTATGATAAAAAAATTTCATTGTTCCCGAAATACATAAAACTACTAATAAATGGGTCAACTCATTGTTTTCAAAGGCAATAAAATAAAAATGTACCTTAGCAGAATTGTGGATATTTCCTGTTTTGTTTTAATTTTTGCTGAATTATACGTCTTTGTCTAAAAAACTTGATGAAATTTCCTTTACAAAACTGGAAATAAAATTTACATCACAACAGCAATAAGCGATTTTTTTTTGTTTTTGCTTTAATTGCGTGTGAAGTGAAGACAACACCACCTCTTGGACAGAACAGCGGTAAAACCAAGGAGGGGAGTCGAGAACGAACGATCTACCATTCCGGAGGTTATTTCTTACTTATGAAGTCCAACCATACTAAAAGCTGTGACTGGTGATTGGCTTTCATTTTTCTTACTCTTTTCATGCTGAAATAGCGACCTATGCCTTCCACAGCTTCTCTTTCGAAGGTGTCTCAGAAGAACACCTCCAGGATCGGAGGAGTACCTAGGTCAGTCGAGTATAAATTTTTTAATCGTTTCTCTATATACTTCTTAACATAGTTATCCAGGGTAACTTCGCCAGTTAATGCAAAGAGATCTTTTGCACTCACAAATGGGGGCCGGTGAACTAGTCTTAGGGCTACGCGGTATTTCCTACGGAACTCCTATTGTTGTGAGTGGGGAAGGAAGGGTAAGAAAGGAAAACCCCAAGCCATATTAGAGAGGGCTTTAAATACCTCGATTTTACGTGGTCTGACAAGCTTTCACTTAAACAAACGATAAATATGTGTCTTGACAAGATCCAGTCATCCTTTAACGTAATTCATATATAACTGCCTAAGATATAGGTTCATTATCCTTCAATGACCCTTTCAACCTACATTAGAAGCTCAGAAGGGCTTTAAAAGGCATTTGACACCACTTTTCTTCCGCTACCCATTCACCGTTTTATTTTCCTATGTCCCTCTATGTATATATCAGCTACCATCATAGAAATTAAGTCATTCAACAGCAGTTCTAAGGTAATTCATTTTCTATATATCTATTCTCACTCTCATCGTCGCCTTCGCTTTTACTCTCTTTCAAATGTTTTTTCGTTCAAATACCAGTAGGCTGCGTAATATGTAATCCAAATGCATGGATATTAATGAGAGAAGCCTTTTTAAGGCTTTTCTGGTCAATTGATGAATTGGATGAATTTGAAACTGGATGAATTTTTCTGAAAGGGCTTAAAAAGAGGTTTCGAAGCCGTGTTTCAGAAACCTGTTTGGTAAGGTATTTTTAATTCTAAATGTATGGATATCGATGATACACGCGTTTGAGGGTTTTTTTATTAAACAGAAAGTCTGTAGAGAAGGTTTTGTATTGAAAAAAATTAGTTTTCTAAAAAAGGGTTTAAGAGGCCCTTTTTTCAAGTGTCTTTAGATAAGCCTTTTTATAATGCAAATGCGTAGATATTGATGAGAAAGCCGTTGTAAGGTTTTTTCCTAGGCACAATCTTCGTCGAAGAAAGGTGTTTTGGAATGAAAACCAGTTTGGATTCACATGGGCTGAAAAGTGCTTTTGGAAATATACTGGGGATTTATCCGGAGAAAATCATGGTGATCTTGGTTTTACTCTTACTTTTCTGTGGTCGTGGTGGTACTCGTCGTCAGCTATGTGGTCAGTGACATTGCTCATCATCATCTCTTTATGTATGTGTGAACTCGTGCATCATCAGTTAGGTGATCAATGACATTGCTCATCATCTGCCTGTATATGTGTTAACGCGTGTTTCATTTTTGTACTTTGATGGTACGAGATGTATGAATACAGAGATTATTGTTGTAAGTGTGGGTGTTGAGTAAATTCGTTTGTCGGCGAGTAATGCTTCAATAGTGGCATGTGAAAGAACAAAGTCTATGCTTCCATGGATCCTGGTTTAGTTTTTCGTTTTATGGCCCCAGAAAATGTAGAAAATGTGGTTCTGTTGAACAGCTACCTTATCCTTTGAAGAACTTATCTTAATAGTTTTTATTAAAATAAATAAAGTTTAGACAGGTTAACTGTGGTAAATGTCTAATGTTCGCCGCACTTGACAAAGCGGTGCAACAGTAGAAAAAGAAAATCATTAGTGTATTTTGTTTTAGCTGAATAGATTCACCCATGCCTGGATTTTATGGCGTAGTATGGCAGTTGTTTTGCTTTCGTTGTTCACGTAAATTATTATTTCTTTCCAATGTCTCATTACCTAGAGCGAAAAAAGACGGAGTTTCTATGAGCGTTAGTTCCAGTTGTAATCCCAAAAGTTCATCACTTTGTCAGCATCTTTACATATTCCACTGTTTTTATGGGAAACGATAAACGTTCAACGTAGCAAGCATGTTTTGAAAAATAAGACTTTGAAATAGAAGTATGTAATTAGGTCAATTCACACCGTGTTCGGAATAAACTCCCATTAAATCTAAATAATAATTAAACTTTGTTGGTAGATCTTCTTCCATTAGATTAACAAATACTTGGGTTTCCGAATCAAATATGACTCTTGTCACTGCTAAATTTTAGTGTGATAAACGATGACCAGGATAACTACTCTAACAGAGTAAAGTTTTAAATTATTATTACATGGGAAAAGCTATTTACTCACGAACATGACATGAAAGAAATCCTGTCCTAGTTGCAGATATTTAAGCCGAGAGATGATCCTGAGCAATGTCATTCAACACATAGCATGCTTTACTCTTGAACTTCGAAGATACGAGATATATGAATAAAGGTATGATGTCAATGGGACAAATACACTTATTACACCCCCCTCATATATCGACTATTTCAGTTTAAATAGCCTCTGCGGAGTTCACTGAGTGCATTCTTAACAGTCTCTGATCGATAGATCAAGGCATATATGAATCA